CTCTCCCTCGCCTCCACCTCTGCCACCGAACGGACGCCCCTCGGCGGCGAGGAGCGAGCTGCGCTCCGGTGCTCCCACCACGCGGACCGCCCCCGCCCCACGTCGCGCCACTTTTCGAACTCCGTGATCTCCGCGGCGGAATCTCCAACGTGACGGTGCTCCTCGTCGACGACGATGACGATGACGGTTCTTCCTCCGGCACTTCCGCCGTCCGGCCGACGAGGCGGCGACCCGTTATTCTTTGCGCGAGTTGCCGCTCTGACGTTCGCGAATTCCCCAGAATACAAACTAGTAGACGTGATAGAGATCGGGATATACGTCGGGATTTCTGGGGGGATTTCCTGTGTGTCAGCGCAAACATTTGCATTTTCTTCCTGGCGATTTTGCGCGATCATAATTGTATATTCATATAAATAATCTTGAGATTAAAGATCAGTAATGGATATTGAGTTTTAAACTACAGATTTCGAGACATATCGATCAAATCGAGCATCGAGGTTGTGAAACGTAGTCCGTCGACAATCAGTCGCCGTTCGAGCCACCTCTCCTGACGATAAGGAGGAAGTGCCGATAAAATTCTCGATTTTATCGTGTAATTTTCTAGGACGGTCCAGCCTCCCAGTGGCCGCGATATGGCGAGTCCAGCCTTCGAGCGATTCTTCCCCTCCTTTCTTTGCAAAGTAGGAATATGCGACGTGGGGATAAAACGCGTTTCGCGGTGATATAAGCTCCAGCGACAAAGTTTCCATTATTACTTATCTACCATAATACCATAAGTTGAATTAAAAAATATTTATAAAAATGTTTTGTTTATATAATTATATCTTTAAAAAATAATATGAAGATTTCATATTTTACTTTGTAAAAATGTGTATATGTATATTTACGTGTTTTCATTTTTTCATGTTTTATATTCTTTATGCTTTATTTAAAAAATTAATTTACGCACATATAAATTTGTATGCGGTATTATGGAGTTTTCCAAGAATGCTTAAAGAGATTATAATGAAAGATCAAACATTTTGAAAAAAAATTATTTCTTCAGTGAATATATATCAATATATACTGATTAGTTTTCTCTTTTGATTTATGCAAAATCTCTGTGATACAACATCCCACAAGCAACGGCAAGGCGTAACAAGTGTCTGTGTGACGTCATCCAGCTTTCTGGAGGCGGAGCTTCTCGTTGGGAAAGCAGGTGGAGGGGTCGAACTCTCCCGCATCATGCAACGCTTGCCCCACCCCCGTGATTTTGTTCCTTTGCGCCTCCACCGTTTTCCACCTCTTGCCTCTCTTGACCCCTTTTCCTTTTCCGAGGAAGCTTGGATCTTAATATACTTCTTATTAGAATATTCAAATTATAGTCAAAGGAACAATATTTTTAATCAGTCACTATTATATCGCTAAATAATTTTCAATTATTTTTAAGAATATTTTTGTCAAAGTTTGATTTTTTTCAAATTGCCTGAGTCAATTTTAATAGATTAATCCCCATTTCCACTAATGTAAATTAACTTTGATTTCGATTAAACTCACTTTCCATCTTTATTTAATTCTATGAATTAAAAAAAAAGATAAACATAAAATTGAACTGAGACCAAAGTTAATTTATATTGATGGAAATAGAAAAAAGTAATTTTTATATATTTTGTTGTTTAAATAATAATGGATACTCTCAAAAATGGAAATGTTTTGTAAAATTTTGTACAAATCTTCCACAGGAATTGTTAACAAATGTTTCTTATTAATTACTAGATAATACACAAACGTCAAAGATACTGTTATTTCTCAAATTTTTGATGATGATTCGTGAGATTTGTCAGGGTTCTTGGACTATTCAGTTTCCAGACTCGCCAAAAATTCTGGATCGTGGTCACAAGATGCTACTGTTTATTGCACTGTGGTCTGTTGAAGCGTAATCGAGAAGGTAGATGCGGTTTGCCGTGTTCGGAAGAATATAGGTGATTAACCCCTTGGATGCGTTCCTTGTGTATAGGGATAAATTTATCAATCGCTCGCCTATCCGCGTCGCGAAATGTTCAGAATCACCACAAAAATCGGCACTACGATCAATCGTGAAACCGCAACCACTGCGACCGCATTATTTGTATGTTACAACGTATGAGTAAGAATTAAGACATTATCTCTTTCGAATCTTTTTTCATCGATCGCAATTCCAATGGTAAATAAGAAGCTTAGAAATGTCTGCGCTTATACGAAACAGAAATATACAGAATTATAGCAGGTAACGTAAATATCTAACAAAATGTATATCATAGAACAGTAGGATATTTTCGTTATTTACAAAAATAATTATACATTAGACGTTATTCCTGATTATTTTAAATTAAACATATTTTAAGACTAATATCGCGCTAAGAATAATATCGAAAATAATTAATTTAATTTAAATTAAATATTATTTCAAGTATATTGCACTAAAAGAATAATATCGAAAGTAATTAATTTTTAATACAAATTCAGTTAATTTAATTGACGTTAAGTTGACATTTGGCCGAGAAGAAGTTTAATAAAACGTTCAACTGTAACAAGATTATGTTCAACAAGTGCATTAGGAAGTATGAGATAACAGATTAATAATGGGTAACCGAAATAAATACAAGAATCTTTTGACGCATTTTTATCAGTGTGACGATATCGCTCCGAGTGATATTTCCAGCGCCACCGGAAAAGCTCGCAAGACTATTTTATCGTTAACTGCTTTCTCAGAAAAATGTCAATTTACATACACTATATTATTTTCTACAATTTATACCTTATAATTTGTTTAATAATCCAGAAATTATAATTTTTCTTGTTTGAAAATTTACTTTTGCAAGAAGATTGAATTTTTTAAAACTATTTAACGCCATAGAAGTAAAATTATCTATTTTGCTATCATTAATTTTATTGATGAATAAATTTTAATATTAAATAATTTAATTTTTTAAGTAAATTTTATCTCTTATAAGAAATTAATATTTTATGATATTATGGTTTATTATAATAAGAAAATTAACATTACACAACATTTTCACAAATGTCAATTTACATGAAGCATATTATTCTCTACAATTCACGTTTTACTATTTGTTTAATAATCCAGAAATTAGAATTTTTAAAAAATTTTCACAAAATACATATTTTATAACACATATGTGTTTCTGTCTCTTATTTTCTTTTATAATATAATTATAAAATTTAACGGAAAATTTAAGCGAAAGAGACGTTCCCGTTCCTTCGGTGAACAAAGGCGCAATATCGTTGGGTGTAAGTTAATTCGCCTTTTACGCGAAAGCCGAGCTAATGAACTATAAATAAGGGAGGAATACTTGTGCCAAGTGGACAGCCACACTTACTGACCCTTCGTAATTAAAATCCTGTCCTAAATCAGGACTAGGGATGCGATTAGACGAGGATCGCTCCTGCTCCGTCAGCTTACTACCAAATCCGCCGTGGTCCTTACGTATTCGAGCCCTCGTCTCCCTCGGTTCTTATATGCGTGTGTGTAAATTTCAATGACTAACTTTATTATACAATTATTAATTTTAAAAAAGTATATAAAATTGATATAAAAAAGGATTGCGTATAACAAAGATTTTAATGCATACAATGGAATGCACTGAAACTACTTTGTTTCAGCTAGATAATTTGAAACTGTAATCGTCTAATGTGGTAAATATGTCGTGATACCGGAAGGGATTGTTATTAGCAACAAAAATAAAAACGCAGTCTGTTCGTGACCGTACGGAGTCACTCTTTTCGTTTCCAGTTCCGTCGATGTAATTTGTCTTTCATTACGAATAATTCAGCTACGAAGCGTGCAGCTAATAATCCTTTTGTTGTCGGAACACGCGATAAAATGGGGGAGAAAGTCGAGAAGTAGAAAATTTATCGAAGAGATAATACGAAGATTATCTTATAGGAATGTATAATATATTATTCTTATATTTTTTTAAATATATTACAAATAAGCCAACGTATCTTAGTTTGGCTATTGTTGCACATAGAGAATAAGTCCAAATTTTGCAAGTACATTGTACTTTAAAATAAATAAATAAAATAAATAAAATAGAAGATCAAGATCATTATTTAATCCTGAATATAACAAATGTTCATTTGTTGTGTATACGAGGATGCACTAGCATGCATACGCAGAACGTCATAGAAGAGAACTTGTTTCGAACACGGTGTATCAATTATCGGCGTATTTCGACAGAATACTAATTGCGAGTGGTACCAATTATTTGAAATAACACCGTGATTTCACCGTGAA